AGGTTCTCTAATGTTCGGGAAAGTGCTGCCTGTTGACCGATCAGTAGCAATGACATTATCTAATAATACATATCTATTAAAGCATACGGTTATGCAGAGATAACTCTTCGCTAAATTAGCGTACGAAGTAAGTTGGTTAGCAAAGCTCCCGCGATAAGTACATATTGTCTACAAATTACTCAAAAAATGCTACAGACGCAATAAAGTTAAGGAAGATAACCACAATTAGCTTAAGCAACGTGGCTAGTTAATAGAGGATTATTCAGAAAGACATAACAAACCAAATAAAATGGAATGAAGTTTATCTAGCTTAAAAGGACGTATTTTAAGTGTAAGTTGGTTTAGCCCAACTGCAATGAAGGAGCATCATGAATGCAATATATATATATATATATATATATATATATATATATATTACGGCAAATTTATTTTGTTTAGAGTGACTGTAAAAGAAATAAATAAGCGTTCGAAATAGTTGTAAACAAAGCAGGTATAACAAGAATTTTCGATAGATCTATCAACTGTATGCAATGGAAAAGCAGAGAAACTGATAACAAAATTGATTTCCCGGAGGATTGAGAATTGCTACTTGTAGTGGAGTTGGTGTCCCAGGGGAAAAAAGAAACAAACATAAACGAAGAACCCAATAGGACAATGTTGCGTTTTGATCAGTTTAGACGACTTAGAAATACCTCTCTTCGCATTTGCAACTATCAGCTCCAACTATGCAAACTCCCAATAAATGTGCTATACATTCGAATGGAGCAGAGGATAGAGTGATGTAAGTTTGGCAGCTCTGTGCCTGTTCAGCGAATGGGGCAAAATCGTATGCAGTTTCGTGAATAAGGCTCACGAAAAAACTGCAAAATATAGAATTAGCGTCCTGTACTCTGAATTATCGAACTCACAGATGACAGTTGAAACCACAAGTGTGAAACATATTCACCCTTAAGGTGCGCGTGATACGCAGTTCGAATTCGGTTCGAAAGTATAGTGAATCCTACCCAAAAATCGCGGTGTCACTAACGCTGTGGTGACAATGTGCCGAATTGGTAATCCAGCAGAGAAAGGTAGTGACTACTTCCGCATAAAAACAACCATGTTTTGTAACGGGTACCATCACGTAATATGGCGATGCGGTGAAAGCTGCTTTAGAGGTCGGGAATAACGTGCGAACCGGTTGCAGATTACATAATCCCAACTGTTGTCAAGCTTGTCGACCACAGTTCAGGGAGAGAGAAGATAGTTCATTCGATTCAAAATGTTTGCAACCAGTGAGCTACCTTGGTCGCTATTAGGAGAATGGAAAGTGATGACACACGTGATAAGCTAGAAAACTCAACTCGACGTAGAGGTTTGCAGTACTCGCTCTCTGTTCGGACTGCAACACACATTCCTGAATGGTGCTTAGGTCGACTTTGCCATTCCGAGCACCAGGACCGTATCAAAGGTGAAACGGATGTGGTGTTGCTCTCTACCATCCCCGCACTCCACAACGCGTTTCGCCTTTGTTTAGATTCTTCAGGTAGAGATAGCCTGAGTTAGGAGTGGAACTCGGGACCTAATGGTTGACGGCTAACGTCTTGATCGGTGGGCCGTTAAAACCCATGAGCAGTGATTAATACGGCAGTTAGGATCTCAATGATCTAGAGATCAAAGGATTACACGTTAACCAATAAGTCACAAGTTCCACTCCAATCTGCGGCTAGCTCAACGTGATGAGTCCAAAGGAAGACGAAACCATGGCAAGGTGTTGCGTTGGGAGAGAGAAACACAAAATGCCACTCACTTAGAACGTTCGATTAATAAAAATAATAATAATGTGTCAGCTGTACGCCGTAACGGCGCTTCGCTGCCGCGCAACCACCACCAGTCGCGCGCGGGCTGAGTATACCGCGAGGACGCCCACCGCTACGCGGATTCGAACCGGTGACCTTATGGTTGCAAAGCAAACGTGCAGACCACTCGACCACCGGCCGACTAGAATGTTCGATTGCCTCCGAAAGTGCATGATAAAATGTGGCGCAATGTGGATCGGTGGAAAACGAATGTTTAGGAGTAGAGAAAGCGATGCTTCCTCTGGTACAAGATGGCGAGAATCCGGCATTTAAGAATCCTGTCTCAAAAATAGTTTGTAAAAGCTTAAGCATTCTCCTCCAAGGTTAAAAATGCTGGGCTAGTGAAGTAATCCAGAAGGCCACGAACACACAAAATTGGCATCCAGGTTAACACCACTGATCGCTCAATCAGGTGTGCAGAGAAAGCGTAAAAGCTAATATCAAGTATGTGGCGGGGAGGTAGTGACATAGTAAATGGACAAAGTGGCATTTTACCATCTAAAACATAACAAGCGGATGAAGAGGATGGCGAATTCCAAGGGAATCTTCGGTGCATGGACAGAGAAAGCCGGTTAAGCAAGCATCAAGAATCTCGGGGATGATCATTAAGAGACACACTTCGGGAAATGCCAATTCCCGGGGGATAATTCGCGTGGCTCAGATCAGATTAACATGGTGGTGGGTAGCCGATCAACAATCCCAAGATGGTGAAACGAAATTAATGGCCAATTTAGCTGTGATTAAAGAGATGAATGGAATGACAGAAAAGAAGTTACGCAACCTTGGTACAAAGAATACTAAACAATATGGTAACAAAAGGCACGAGGAGGAATGCCAGCACCGAGTTAACGACTGCGCTGTGCAAACAGGGTAAAACAAACGTGCAGAATGTTAAAATCCAGCCGCAGCAATCGATGAGGTGAAAAATGAGTATGAAGAATGTGGGCTCATATTTAGCATCAGCCAGATCGCTTCGTTCCCCAGGGTCAGAACCATGTGATGCGGACTCAGCGTTTGGAGTAGTGGATAATATAAAAATGCAAAGTTCTACAGCAGGGGTGTCCAAACATTTTTCAAGGAGGGTCATTTTTATGAGGTGAAAATATGTCGGACCACATTCAGTCTGACATTAAGAGAATAATACAAATTACACATGTACGAAAAAAGTCCAAGCTTTAATTTATTAGTTCATGATGAGTTCGCGGGTCAGTTGAAATGTGAACGAGGGACGCATTTGGCCCATGGGCCGGACTTTGGGCATCCCTGTTCTAGAGTAATAGAAAGATACAAACTGACATGTTTGAAACATTAAATAGAACAATGCTGGCTTCCCCATGTCGAAGAATGATCAACTCTTGCTAATGGCACATAGACAGGTAGGAAAATACACATTAGGATAGATAAATGCAAGTGTCTCATGTTGAGGTTGATGTTTCATTTACGGTGTTTCTTAACCGCAATTGGGATACACCAAGTTAAAGTGTAAGGGAAAATAAGCACACAAAATTGACACGGAATGTGTAATAAGGTAGGGGGAACTCAACTCGACCTAGAGGTTTGCAGTACTCGCTCTGTGTTCGGTCTGCAACACACATTCCTGAGTGGTGTTTCGGTCTACTTTGCCAACCCGATCACCAGGACCGTATCAGAGGTGAAAGGGACGTGGTGTTGCTCTCTACCAGCCCCGCACTCAACTAGATCTTCGTAGCCTGGATAAAAATAAATCCAAATCTATCGCATATTCCGTGTGAATTTTGTGTGTTTATTTTCCCTTAAATTTTACGTCCGTTGTATGATACCCCGGTGTGGCTGCGCTTGTTGAAAAACAATTATAGTCAAACATGTATAAGGCAACCATTCAAGAGGTCGACAAAATGTGGTCACCTAGGACAGGTGGCCGCCATGAACAGCTCATGCATAGGGACATTAATCATAGAAGAAAAAGTTGGGGATGCTTTTGGTTAATCGCCATATACAAATGGTCGCCATAGACAGGTGGTCAACATAGCAGGTTGGAGTGTACCGATGAAAACGGCTCCAAGAGACAGTTGGTCGCTCCTTGGGGAGATGGGGTGCACGGTTCGGAATCGGAGGTCACCAATGATAAGTGTAAATATAACAGTATAGTAAGATGGGGGAGGAAGAAAATGCAATGGAATTTAATGTTTTCGTTGCAGTAGCTTACAAGCTACAAATCACAACCCCTATCAAGAGAAGCACCAGATGCGCGTTTCGCCCTATTGGGCTCGTCAATGTTGCACATCCTCCGGTCCCCTACTGGTGATCGAATTCATGACTGCTAGAGGCTGACGCCAACTAGGCAGCAGCTTAAGCCACTGAGCCACGGGGCACAGTGGTTGAGCTACATAATTTGCAAGCTTCCCCTAGTCAATAGTACAATTTAATTTAGTTTAAATAGTAAAGGAGAATAGAGTAATTACAATTGTGTCAATAACATAGAGACCGCTGAAAGCTGCGGAATGCATTACATGCACCGTCCCTATGACGGAACGGGTCGCCGTAAGTCACCAACTTTGAATGTTCCTACAAATCGAAGCCCATATGGGGTCGGACAAGTATTAGATATCCACATATCAGAAATCAACGCCTCATGTGATGTGTGCGAAAGTACATCATCCACAGACAACGAACACTGCCCCGAGGGTAAACAATCACGCGGAAGAGCGGCAAAGTGGTGTCCATCGATCCGCAGGCCTTCGTGGCTAACAGTGGATACATATAGCGTGGGTGGTTGAGAGGGCAACGCAATATGCATGATGTGGTGATTCAGGTTTGCAAGATATATGTTTACGTTCGAATTCCTGCCCCTACACGCTTATAGTCCATCCTGAGGTATTTCGACCCACACAAAACTGCTAGTAGTTGCGAGACGCTGAGGCACTACACACAAGCATTTCGCACTGACACAGTTGTCATGAAACATTACAGTTGGATGTGGGTTTGGACACTGCTGGATCGCTCGGACAAATGTAACAACGCCGATTCGAAGTTGGGATGCAATGTTTGCAAGCTGAAGCACGACATTAATGAGCCCCGAAAATCGATCATGGTAGAGATAGAGCAAGACGGTGTAGAATCGACACAGAACAGCGAGACGTTGCGTAAAACATCGGATTCAGTAAACTGGAAAGGACAAGGCAGTCATAACGACGTAATATCGCCCTCGTAACGCACCATGTAAGTGTCCCATAAACGAATAATGCATCGCAACGGTAGCTCCCGAATCAGCAAGTTGTTCATCCAACGGAATGCAAACTGCAAATATTCCACACCGTTAGTGACCAAATGACGATGTAACGAGATGTCCACTCGTTCGATCAGACTTGCTAACATGGACACGTTGTGTTGGATACCGGGTTGAGCAAATGTGTAATTGTCTTGAATAGTGTCCAACAGATGGGAGGTACACCAGAACACGTCAGCTTCGACAGTGTCAAGGTGAGTCTTGTCCAGATTATATTCCAGACTGAGTTCGCCCGACGTATTTAAATCTGAAAGCAAAAGTAAACATAGTGAGGTTTAGAAACACTCACGAGTACACCAACAATGTATATGAAAGTAGCGCTTAATTACAACTACCATAGTGCAAATTAGGAGAATAATAAGTGCATTACTCAATGTGCGAGAAGCTGCGTCCACGTAAAGTAAAGATCATCCTTGTAGAGATGATACCATGTGTTCTCGTGGCTACTAATTGGTTGAGTGTCTGTGTTACGATATGTGAAGGACAGGACTGTGTCTGACTGAAAGACGTGTGCACGGGAATGTTGCTACGTAACCCGCTGTTACAGACCGGTGGCAGAAAGCACTACCCGGTTGCCAGAGGTCATCAGTTTGAACGCGCATAGGTGGGGGCGACCTCGCGGTACACTCAGCCCACGCGAGACACGAGCTAGTTGCGTGGCGGCGAAGCGCCAACACGAGGTATTGCTGATGTAGTTTGTTGTTCGAGGTCCATCAAGCAACCGATGGTTTGCTTATGAAGGGCATCATAACCACCTCAGTAGCTCCCATTCCCTCCATTTCATACAGACGGCCCGCAGCCTAGTGGTAACGAGCTTGTCTCGTAATATTGAAGCGCGGGTTGGAATCCGCATAGGGGTGGGCGTCCTCGCGGTATACGCAGCCCGCGTGCGACTGGTGGTGGTCGTACGGCAGCGAAGCGCCGCTACGGCGTACAGCTGACACAATTCATATTTATTTTTTTCATTAGTATACATTTCAGTTCCACCTCCCGGGAAATTTTTAATGGCAGAAACATTCAGAAAGCGTTTAGTAAAGTGCGTTGCACGTGTGATATTAAATAGCAGAACAAGAGCAAAAATGAAGGGTATGGCTTCAGTGAAAGAAAACGCGCTTGATTTCTCAATATAGCGGGCGCATCATTGCTCAATGTCAAGAGCCGGAAACACATATGTGATGTCAAGGGAACTCGGTGACAATTAGGAGTGCCAAAGAGTGAACTAAATGGTCACGAGGGCATTTCCAAAGGTTACTTGTCCAAACGAATAATGGCGACGACCTATGAAAACGCACGCACGCGACTACCAGGTTCACACCTACGTATCGCTCCGCCACACTACACACCGCACTAATGATGTTACCTCATTTGTGACACGTTCGCAACAAAACTCCCAGGCCCGGTGAACAGTACGTCTACTAACAATAAGAAAACAGTCCAGAAAGGTAGGTAGGTCGACGGCACACTGGCTTCTGGTTTATGCCACTAGTCGAGGAATAGTGTTAGGTTAGATGGCCGCCTATCAGTACTCTACAATTTCCCCAAACGAGTCAACCATACCGCACACTCCCAGTCTGTGGAGGAGGACGTTATGGATAACCATTCCGAACGGTTTGCTGAAATTAATATAGATCAAGTCCACAGGTTTCTTCTGGTTCACTGCACGTAGCCATTCCTGCCTTGTCACGTGCAGGTTGGTAATGTGTCGGCGACCTCGTATGAAATGATTCTGTGCAAGTATCAGGCTTTTCGACTGCAGTAAACTCTAGTAAGCCCTGAAACCGATCTTCTCGGCTACTTTGGCCTGCAATTGTCTAGTTTGCTGGGGTGACCGCCTTCGGATCGGCATCACCACCGAGCACATCCAATCACTTGATAAAGAATCTTGGGACAGGTTGGTCACAGAAGGAGATATAACAGTCGTTGCGGAATTGAGAATCAGCGCGTGAAAATCATCAGGCTCAGTAGGCTTGGTGCTGTCAAGTTTGGCGAGTAGTTGACACACCTCAACACCGCAATCCAGACTGTCGAGTCCGGTGAAAGCGGTACATATCGAACTCAGTACAAACACTTCGTCACTTCCAAATACGGAGGTAAAGTGCGCTGCCAACGCGGACGCACGCCCAATACTGGAGGTTAGAGACTGTTCAGTTGAGCCCAATAGCACTAGTGGGTCACGTGCCGGTCCCAGAAGCTACTTCCCGTAAGCAAAGATTCACTTCAGGGCGGTTGCAAGTAGTTCTTCGAAATACCGGTAGTTGCTCCATTTCGCGCTGTTGAAAATATGCCGCTGTATTTATATGTGTCGTAGTGATCGATCAAGCTAGAGAGATGAAGATTGTTCCATAGTAGGAACCAATTTACCACACTCCTTGTCGAACTAAGGTGATTTGATTTATCCTAATTCCGATACTTGAGAGGCATAAACCGTCTACACAATTCGCTTACTCTATTCTTTAGAACTGATCAGGTTTCAACAGATGCAGTTTGCTGATGAGAACAATTCCCTTGTCTCGCAGCCCGAGTCAGTCCATCGAAGTCGGTTACCTAGTGGTTGAAAGCTACCTTCAGCGCATGAGAATATTGCGGTTGCAACTCCGTGTTAGCAAGGTGAACTGCGTGGTAGCTTGCAGTCAGGTACTCCATGATCTGAACGTCACATATCATTGTTCGCAGCTTGTTAACATCAAGTTTGGGCACCACGGAATTGACTGAGATGTTATGCGCGTCAGTTGGTACGCGTTTCGTGCCCTTGGGTGCGATAGACCTTAAGTCGATCACAATGGGTCTCTGCAATCACGCTCCCGAGCCGGAGTTGCTCTTCACAACCTCGTGGATTAGGCTATTGAGCCAAAGGCTCTGGATAGAGTCCCTCAAAGCCTTGTGGGTAAGATGCTTTAGTTAAAAAGCAGAAGCAGGGCACCTCAAAGAAAACCTCACTTCCGAAATAAGCAGCCCGTTTCATATGCACACTCAACGCCATCGACGATACTCCAGATACTTCTTCGTCTTGTTTTAGCTCCCTTCATAACTCCGTTCTTCCTCATCCACTGAGCAAGACTGACGCTAACCTCGCAGATACTGACATCAAACTTAGAATTTCATTTCATATCGGGTCTTTTAATGTCCACACTTGAGGTCAGATCTGCCGGCAGACACCAATAACTCACTCCTCACTCTCATGGTACTGATGTGTGTGTGTCTCCGAGAAACGCATGTAACAGCGTCGTGACTTATCTTTGACTCCATGGTTCGGAATCTGCTGACAATGACTAGACTCCTCACGTCGCTGGCAATACTAAATGGTTCAAGGTATTTACGTTGTCCGTACCGCTCCCAGCAAACATGCTGAAAGCAATCTACACGACTGGATACCGGTGAACAGCCGCATGAATGCGGTTCGACTTCGAACTCCTATTGGATCTAATAAGCAGCGTCTGAAGACAAAGGTGCCTTGTCATCGCATCCGCTTTGGCTCCTACTGAATGAAGTTAAGAGAGCATCAAAGACGATTTATACCGTGAGCTCTCATCGCTTCTTCGCAAGGTGAATATTGACATCGTCGCAGGTGACTTGAATGCCCAAGTGAGCCGCCTATCGGACTCTGAACGACACCTAGGGGGCCGCTTCGAAGTTGCCGCAGGCCGAACAGACGATGATGATCGATTCCTATGCGTTGATCGTAATCTGTATTACAGCAGCATTACTTTCCAGCGCAAACGTTCACACCGTGTCACCTTGCACCCGCCGGATTCCTCAATGGCCTGGACCCAAACTGACCATATTCCCATCAGCCATAGATGGCGCACGTCAGATCAAGACTGCCGGTCTATTTGAAGCATGTGCCTAAATTTCGATTATGCTCTAGTGCGCGCATGTTTGGTGCTTATTCATCCCGCTCCAAAGAGTATGTAACTTTTAAGCCACTTAATTGAACTTACAATTGGCAGTTCAACAATATCAAGACGAATTACTTCAGCAATCTTTTAATGTTTTCGTCCCAGTAGGTCACAAGCTACATAGCACAGCTCAGCAAGGAAAGCACCAGACGCGTTTCGCCCTATTGGGGCTCGTCAGTAGTGCGCATTCCCTCGGTCCCCTACTGGGGATCCAAACCACGATTGCCAGAGGCAGAGTCCAACTAACCAGCAGCTTAAGCCACTGTGCCATGGGGGACGTCAGCTGGGCTACATAAGTTGCAAGCTAACCGGGATATAGCACGACCTATCCTTCACTGCCACGCAGGTTACTACCTTAGCAGATGATAGCGGCTAGCCTCCGAAGGTCAAGACTTCCTCTCACTAGACGCTACGTCCATAACACTTGAAACTAGGAGAGGTTACGTTTTACATTACTAATTAAAAGCTTCCTACTCATTAGTAATAATTCAGCAATCGTCAGTGGTGAAGGAGGCTGGTGAGTCTAACGCAGACTGGGATCGTCGTAAAGGTGCAATGAAGGATGCTTTTGATGCATGCTGTGTACCCAATTGGGGATCACTGAAGCATCAATCAATTTGATCGAAGCGCGCAAAGGGGTTCCGATGAGCACTGACTTTTAGCGTGTCCATAACGTCCTGAAACGACGGCTGATTTCGAATTGACTGGGGTATGCTGGTGATTCGTAAGGACCCGTGTGATGGAGAAAGCTAGTGCTATTGGGAACTACCTAATGCTGTTACAGCTCATTCGGAACACGGATCCAAAATGCTATCAGTTAGCGAAACAACAGCTGAGGAAGATGGACAGTTGGTCCATTCGCAGCTTCATCGGCTAGCTCGTTGGGGGGGGGAGCATTTTGAAGAGCAGTCCAGCAAACCTACTGCGAACACCGCTTACTGATCACCTGAGCTGTCACGAGATGTTGCTGACACACCCACTTCAGAAGAAATTTGATATGAGCTGGGTGTGTTGAAACGAAACAAGCCACTGGGGCACGACGACCTTCCTCCATCTTTGTTGAGAAATCGAGGTGACTCTTAGTTGATCACGATTTGAAGACTGAAGGGTGGAAGCAAACTGGTGACTGTCGTGCTCATCTTCAAGGAGAGTTAGGATACGTTGTGCGATAATCATCGAAGCATTAGCCACCTTTTTATTGCTTCCAAACTTCTCACGGGTATCTTCGACGATGCACTGCACCCCTTAACAACCGAAGCATTAAAAACCAAGCAGACTTTCAACCTGGTCGTGGTTCCATCGACCACACACCTATTCGTCAAGTGCTAGAGCAGAGACACGCAAAGAATCG